GACGCTGCACCCCACGGTTTACGTTCTAGGGGGCGCCAAAGATAACCCAAAAATCCACAGTCTTAAAAGTCTTATAACTTTTTATTTTTGTCCTCACTGGCCTCCAAGTTCACTAGGATGATGCAATGTCCAGCCATCAACACATTTGTGAAGGAATTTTTACTCGCCAAAAGAGCGCCCCCCATGGCAGGAGAAAAAAGTCCATTTTTTCTTGTCTCCTAAGGCGAAAATACACATTGTTGACTGTCACGCCTTTACGCTTTGTCAAAATGACACAAAATTTGACACACACATGTATCTCAATAAGATCTACAAAAAAGTCAGTGCGGGCGTATCTGTCAAATGTACGGTTAAAGGGTTATTTCGCATTTTTTGCCGATCCGCACACATTGGAATTTCGCTAACTCCTCCGAAGGCTTTCGTTCCACCGGCACCACATTTGCTCAGGCCAATCTACACCCCATGGCCATTAAAAGTTGTACAAATCATGACGCTGCACCCCACAGTTTACGTTCTAGGGGGCGCCAAAGAGGACCCAAATATCCACATTTTTAAAAGTCTTATAACTTTTTATTTTTGTCCACACTGGCCTCCAAGTTTTCTAGGATGATGCAATGTCCAGCCATCAACACATTTGTGAAGGAATTTTTACTCCCCAAAAGAGCGCCCCCCCATGGCAGGAGAAAAAAGTCCATTTTTTCTTGTCCCCTAAGGTGAAAATACACATTGTTGAGTGTCACGCCTGTACGCTTTGTCAAAATGACACAAAAATTGACACACACATGTATCTCAATAAGATGTACGAAAAAGTCAATGCGCGCGTATCTGTAAAATGTACGGTTAAAGGGCTATTTTGCATTTTTTGCCGATTCGCACACATTGGAATGTGGCTAACTCCTCCTAAGGCTTTCGTCCCACTGACACCAAATTTGCTCAGGCCAATCTACACCCCATGGCCATTCAAAGTTGTAAAAATCATGACGCTGCACCCCACGGTTTACGTTCAAGGGGGCGCCAAAGATGACCCAAATATCCACATTCTTAAAAGAATCCACACCCCCCCCCCCCCATCCCCCATCCCACATCCCCCATGGCAGGAGAAAAAGTCAAGTTTTTCCTTCCCATCACTCAATGGCTCAATCGCATCGCTCTCCCGGCAACACCGTAACGAGGAGCAACTTGCCGTTTGGATATATCCTAGCTGTGTTTGTGCCCTCACTCATGGTCCAGACTTTTTTCAAATAGGACATGTAGTTTGTCTGCAGCGAGTCTTTTGGTAGAAACTGCGCCTCCCATTCACTATAATGGGAAATGACCACAGACAAGTGCGCACACCATCTTTGGACCTTGAGTGTGACGCGATCGGGAGGGGGAGGCGGTCGCGCTGGGGGCGGCGCGACGCGGCTCGGGCCCGACAGTGCCCCACCGGGGCCCTAGTTCTTTCTTTCTTCTTATTTTTCCTCCCCTTTGAAGGGGAAAATGGCCCACTTCCCACTGGCGAAAACTCATGAAATTTGGCAGGACGAATGGGCCTGGTGAAAAATTCGATATTCTGAAGTCGCCCAAACAATAAAATGCAAAATGGCTCCATAGCGCCCCCTAAGGTGAAAATTCACACTATTGACTGTCACGCCTTTACGCTTTGTAATATTGACACAAAAATTGACACACACATGTATCTCAATAAGATCTACAAAAAAGTCAGTGCGGGCGTATCTGTCAAATGTACGGTTAAAGGGTTATTTCGCATTTTTTGCCGATCCGCACACATTGGAATTTCGCTAACTCCTCCGAAGGCTTTCGTTCCACCGGCACCACATTTGCTCAGGCCAATCTACACCCCATGGCCATTAAAAGTTGTACAAATCATGACGCTGCACCCCACGGTTTACGTTCTAGGGGGCGCCAAAGATAACCCAAAAATCCACAGTCTTAAAAGTCTTATAACTTTTTATTTTTGTCCTCACTGGCCTCCAAGTTCTCTAGGATGATGCAATGTCCAGCCATCAACACATTTGTGAAGGAATTTTTACTCGCCAAAAGAGCGCCCCCCCATGGCAGGAGAAAAAAGTCCATTTTTTCTTGTCTCCTAAGGCGAAAATTCACACTATTGACTGTCACGCCTTTACGCTTTGTCATATTGACACAAAAATTGACACACACATGTATCTCAATAAGATCTACGAAAAAGTCAATGCGAGCGTATCTGTTCAATGTACGATTAAAGGGCTATTTCGCATTTTTTGCCGATTCGCACACATTGGAATGTGGCTAACTCCTCCTAAATCTTTTGTCCCATCGGCTTCAAATTTGCTCAGGTCAATCTACACCCCATGGCCATTCAAAGTTGTACAAATCATGACGCTGCACCCCACAGTTTACGTTCTAGGGGGCGCCAAAGAGGACCCAAATATCCACATTTTTAAAAGTCTTATAACTTTTTATTTTTGTCCTCACTGGCCTCCAAGTTTTCTAGGATGATGCAATGTCCAGCCATCAACACATTTGTGAAGGAATTTTTACTCCCCAAAAGAGCGCCCCCCCATGGCAGGAGAAAAAGTCAAGTTTTTCCTGCCCATCGCTCAATGGCTCAAACGCATCGCTCTCTCGGCAAAACCGAAAGGAGGAGCAACTTGCCATTTGGATATATACTAGCTGTGTTTGTGCCCTCACTCATGGTCCAGACTTTTTTCAAAAAGGACATGGAGTTTGTCTGCAGCGAGCGTTTTGGTAGAAACTGCGCCTCCCATTCATTATAATGGTAAATGACCACAGACAAGTGCGCACACCATCTTTGGACCTTGAGTGTGACGCGATCGGGAGGGGTAGGCGGTCGCGCTGGGGGCGGCGCGACACGGCTCGGGCCCGCCAGTGCCCCAACGGGGCCCTAGTTATTATTTTTCCTCCCCTTTGAACTGGAAAATGGCCCACTTCCCACTGGCGAAAACTCATGAAATTTGGCAGGACGACCGGGCCTGGTGAAAAATTTGATATTCCGAAGTCGCCCAAACAAGAAAATGCAAAATGGCTCCATAGCGCCCCCTAAGGTGAAAATTCACACTATTCACTGTCACGCCTGTACGCTTTGTCAAAATGACACAAAAATTGACACACACATGTATCTCAATAAGATCTACAAAAAAGTCAGTGCGGGCGTATCTGTCAAATGTACGGTTAAAGGGTTATTTCGCATTTTTTGCCGATCCGCACACATTGGAATTTCGCTAACTCCTCCAAAGGCTTTTGTTCCACCGGCACCACATTTGCTCAGGCCAATCTACACCCCATGGCCATTAAAAGTTATTCAAATCATGACGCTGCACCCCACGGTTTAGGTTCTAGGGGGCGCCAAAGATAACCCTAAAATCCACATATTTAAAAGTCTTATAACTTTTTATTTTTGCCCTCACTGGCCTCCAAGTTTTCTAGGATGATGCAATGTCCAGCCATCAACACATTTGTGAAGGAATTTTTAATCCCCAAAAGAGCGCCCCCCCCATGGCAGGAGAAAAAAGTCCATTTTTTCTTGTCCCCTAAGGTGAAAATACACATTGTTGAGTGTCACGCCTGTACGCTTTGTCATATTGACACAAAATTTGACACACACATGTATCTCAATAAGATCTACGAAAAAGTCAATGCGCGCGTATCTGTAAAATGTACGGTTAAAGGGTTATTCCGCATTTTTTGCTGATCCGCACACATTGGAATTTCGCTAACTCCTCCTAAGGCTGGCGTTCCACCGGCACCACATTTGCTCAGGCCAATCTACACCCCATGGCCATTAAAAGTTATTCAAATCATGACGCTGCACCCCACAGTTTAGGTTCTAGGGGGCGCCAAAGATAACCCTAAAATCCACATATTTCAAAGTCTTATAACTTTTTATTTTTGTCCTCACTGGCCTCCAAGTTCTCTAGGATGATGCAATGTCCAGCCATCAACACATTTGTGAAGGAATTTTTACTCCCCAAAAGAGCGCCCCCCCATGGCAGGAGAAAAAAGTCCATTTTTTCTTGTCCCATAAGGTGAAAAAACACATTGTTGACTGTCATACCTGTACGCTTTGTCATATTGACACAAAATTTGACAATCACATGTATCTCAATAAGATCTACGAAAAAGTCAATGCGCGCGTATCTGTAAAATGTACGGTTAAAGGGCTATTTTGCATTTTTTGCCGATTCGCACACATTGGAATGTGGCTAACTCCTCCTAAGGCTTTCGTCCCACTGACACCAAATTTGCTCAGGCCAATCTACACCCCATGGCCATTCAAAGTTGTAAAAATCATGACGCTGCACCCCACGGTTTACGTTCTAGGGGGCGCCAAAGATGACCCAAATATCCACATTCTTAAAAGAATCCCCCCCCCCATCCCCCATCCCCCATGGCAGGAGAAACAGTCAAGTTTTTCCTGCCCATCACTCAATGGCTCAATCGCATCGCTCTCCCGGCAACACCGTAACGAGGAGCAACTTGCCGTTTGGATATATCCTAGCTGTGTTTGTGCCCTCACTCCTGGTCCAGACTTTTTTCAAATAGGACATGCAGTTTGTCTGCAGCGAGTGTTTTGGTAGAAACTGCGCCTCCCATTCATTATAATGGGAAATGACCACAGACAAGTGCGCTCACCATCTTTGGACCTTGAGTGTGACGCGATCGGGAGGGGGAGGCGGTCGCGCTGGGGGCGGCGCGACGCGGCTCGGGCCCGACAGTGCCCCACCGGGGCCCTAGTTCTTTCTTTCTTTCTTCTTTTTCCTCCCCTTTGAACTGGAAAATGGCCCACTTCCCACTGGCGAAAACTCATGAAATTTGGCAGGACGACCGGGCCTGGTGAAAAATTCGATATTCTGAAGTCGCCCAAACAATAAAATGCAAAATGGCTCCATAGCGCCCCCTAAGGTGGAAATTCACACTATTGACTGTCATGCCTGTACGCTTTGTCATATTGACACAAAAATTGACACACATATGTATCTCAATAAGATCTACAAAAAAGTCAGTGCGGCCGTATCTGTCAAAATTACGGTTAAAGGGTTATTTCGCATTTTTTGCCGATCCGCACACATTGGAATTTCGCTAACTCCTCCGAAGGCTTTCGTTCCACCGGCACCACATTTGCTCAGGCCAATCTACACCCCGTGGCCATTAAAAGTTATCAAAATCATGACGCTGCACCCCAAGGTTTAGGTTCTAGGGGGCGCCAAAGATAGCACTAAAATCCACATATTTAAAAGTCTTATAACTTTTTATTTTTGTCCTCACTGGCCTCCAAGTTTTCTAGGATGATGCAATGTCCAGCCATCAACACATTTGTGAAGGAATTTTTACTCCCCAAAAGAGCGCCCCCCCATGGCAGGAGAAAAAAGTCCATTTTTTCTTGTCCCCTAAGGTGAAAATACACATTGTTGAGTGTCACGCCTATACGCTTTGTCAAAATGACACAAAAATTGACACACACATGTAACTCAATAAGATCTACAAAAAAGTCTATGCGCGCGTATCTGTCAAATGTACAGTTAAAGGGTTATTCCGCATTTTTTGCCGATACGCACACATTGGAATTTCGCTAACTCCTCCGAAGGCTTTCGTTCCACCGGCACCACATTTGCTCAGGCCAATCTACACCCCATGGCCATTAAAAGTTATTCAAATCATGATGCTGCACCCCATGGTTTAGGTTCTAGGGGGCGCCAAAAATAACCCAAAAATCCACATTCTTAAATGTTTTATAACTTTTTATTTTTGTCCTCACTGGCCTCCAAGTTTTCTAGGATGATGCAATGTCCAGCCATCAACACATTTGTGAAGGAATTTTTACTCCCCAAAAGAGCGCCCCCCATGGTAGGAGAAAAAAGTCAATTTTTTCTTGTCCCCTTACATAAAAATACACATTGTTGAGTGTCACGCCTGAACGCTTTGTCATATTGACACAAAAATTGACAATCATGTGTATCTCAATTAGATCTACGAAAAAGTCAAAGAGCGCGTATCTGTATAATGTACGGTTAAAGGGCTATTTTGCATTTTTTGCCGATTCGCACACATTGGAATGTGGCTATCTCCTCCTAAGGCTTTCGTCCCACCGATACCAAATTTGCTCAGGGCAATCTACACCCCATGCCCATTCAAAGTTGTAAAAATCATGACGCTGCACCCCACGGTTTACGTTCTAGGGGGCGCCAAAGATGACCCAAAAATCCACATTCTTAAAAGTCATTTTGGCCACTGCAGGAGTACAGAGTACTGCAGTTCTAGGGGGCGCCAAAGATGACCCAAAAATCCACATTCTTAAAAGTCTTTTTGGCCACTGCAGGAGTACAGAGTACTGCAGGATACACACACATATACACACATGCCAACATACACACACACACACACACACACACACACAGACACACACACACACTCAGAGTCTGTTTTTTAGCACCTGCAAAAACATGCTGTTTACATATTTGACAAGAATGCAGAGGCTTCCTTTTGCCCCTGAAAAAAATCAAATTTCAAACACAACTTGACTGTTCATTTCTCCAAAAGACAACCATGAAGCTCCATTTCAAACCTGAAGCAGATAGTTGGTGCATGTGTACAGTAACCTGAGGGGAGTGAGGTGACTATTTCTGAGGAGAACATGAGCAGTGAAGATTCACCTTGGAGCTAGAACAGGGACGTGCACATGATTATACAGGGGCAGGGGCTCAAGTTTTTTCCAGTCATTTATACAATATGGAAATTAATGTGAAATTAAACCACAAATATGTGTGATGAACTGTTTTTAAAACTTAAACTTCAAATAAAAATTGTAAACTTCAAAACATATGCAAATTTTTAACAAAGAACATAGTGATTTACCTCTATTTACATCAAAATGCAGGCAATGGCCCAGGCGTTCTTTGTAAAATTATTTACAAAACACTGTATAGTCTCACAAATGTCACTTTTTATTTATGCCACTACAAAAAAAACATGATGTAAATGATGCATGATGTAAAACATGATGTAAAAAACTTGTGTAGATCCTCCTCTATGTCAGTCCATGTGTAATTTTTCCATAATTCTTAGTTTTTTGCAGCATTTTTGTCAGTGTAACTGCAGATTGTGCTGACAGTGTCTATGGCACAAAAAAAAATAAAATTAAAATGCCTCAACATGAACCCCTGGTGGTCTCTGAGGGTGAAACCTGCTAACTGCTGAAGCTCTGTCAGCTTCAGTCTCCCATGCAGAGCTCTGAGCGCATGTGTGGCTCTGCACCCTTAGCAGCGTTGCTAACTCCTCAGTAAGGAAAGCCTGCTTCATGTCAGAGTCTCTAAACTCCAGAAGAAGTCGATAAAAGTCCCTTTCTTTCTAAAAAAAAGTCGTTAGGGGTCTGAAAAGTCATTGAATCTAACAACAAAGTCGCTAGGTTTGCAACTACGTGTCCCAGACTGCATCCCTGCTGAGAGTCCCTCCCTCCCTTCTCATGTTGCAGGAAGAACGTAAGCTCCCGCCCCTTGTCAATCAGTCACCATATAATTTTGGATTGGTTGTTGTGGTGAAGTTTTCCACCAATAGGAGAGATGTTGTGGTGTGTTTTTTTTTTCTTTTGGCAAGCCTTTTCCGCCTGTAAGACCTGTCGCTAATGTCTGCATGCTATGTTTTCCTGTCTCATACAGCGCGATCGAGCGCCGAACGTGATCAAAATAAGCAGAAAAAAAGTATCGCGGACATAATTTATCATTACTCTGGTTTTATTTGGCCTATCAACACAATTTAAAAACTGGTATATAGGTTGAGGTCCTCACTTTTGAGATAAGTTGAAACGGAGAGTCAACGAGGCTCCGTCTTGCAGCTACATCCGGTTAAATATGTCATGTGACTTGAACGCACACACAGACACACACACACGCACACACACACACACACACACACACACACACACACACACACACACACTCAGAGTCTGGTTTTTAGCACCTGCAAAAACATGCTATTTACATATTTGACAAGAATGCAGAGGCTCCTTTTGCCCCTGAAAAAAATCAAATTTCAAACACAACTTGACTGGTCATTTCTCCAAAAGACAACCATGAAGCTCCATGCAAACCTGAAGCAGGCAGTTGGTGCATGTGTACAGTAACCTGAGGGGAGTGAGGTGACTGCTTCTGAGGAGAACATGAGCAGTGAAGATTCACCTTGGAGCTAGAACAGAGACATGCACATGATTATACAGGGGCAGGTGCTCAAGTTTTTTCCAGTCGTTTATACAATATGGAAGTTAATGTGAAACTAGGACCCCGTTGGGGCACTGTCGGGCCCGAGCCGTGTCGCGCCGCCCCCAGTGCGACCGCCTCCCCCTCCCGATCGCGTCACACTCAAGATCCAAAGATGGTGTGCGCACTTGTCTGTGGTCATTTCCTATTATAATGAATGGGAGGCGCAGTTTCTACCAAAACACTCGCTGCAGACAAACTTCATGTCCTATTTGAAAAAAGTCTGGACCATGAGTGAGGGCACAAACACAGCTATGATATATCGAAATGGCAGGTTGCTCCTCCTTACGGTGTTGCCTGGAGAGCGATGCGATTGAGCCATTGAGCGATGGGCAGGAAAAACTTAACTTTTTCTCCTGCCATATGGGGGGGGGGGGGGATGTGGATTCTTTGAAGAATGTGGATTTTTGGGTCATCTTTGGCGCCCCCTAGAACGTAAACCGTGGGGTGCAGCGTCATGATTTTTACAACTTTGAATGGCCATGGGGTGTAGATTGGCCTGAGCAAATTTGGTGTCAGTGGGACGAAAGCCTTAGGAGGACTTAGCCACATTCCAATGTGTGCGAATCGCCAAAAAATGCAAAATAGCCCTTTAACTGTACATTTTACACTTACGTGCCCATTGACTTTTTCATAGATCTTATTGAGATACACGTGATTGTCAAATTTTTTGTCAATATGACAAAGCGTAAAGGCGTGACACTCAACAACGTGTATTTTCACCTTTCGGGATAAGAAAAAATGGACTTTTTTCTCCTGCCATGGGGGGGGGGGGGGGCGCTCTTTTGGGGAGTAAAAATTTCTTCACAAATGTGTTGATGGCTGGACATTGCATCATCCCAAAAAACTTGGAGGCCAGTGAGGACAAAAATAAAAAGTTATAAGACTTTTAAGAATGTGGATTTTTGGGTTATATTTGGTGCCCCCTAGAACCCAAACCGTGTGGTGCAGCAAGATGATTTGTACAACTTTTAATGGCCATGGGGTGTAGATTGGCCTGAGCAAATTTGGTGCCGGTGGAAAGATAGCCTTCGGAGGAGTTAGCGAAATTCCAATGTGTGCGGATCGGCAAAAAATGCAAAATAGCCCTTTAACCGTACATTTGACAGATACATGCCCTTTGACTTTTTCGTAGATCTTATTGAGATACACGTGATTGTCAAATTTTGTGTCAATATGACAAAGCATACAGGCGTGACACTCGACAATGTGTATTTTCACCTTAGGAGACAAGAAAAAATGGACCTTTTTCTCCTGCCATTGGGGGGCGCTCTTTTGGGGAGTAAAAATTCCTTCACAAATGTGTTGATGGCTGGACATTGCATCATCCTAGAAAACTTGGAGGCCAGTGAGGACAAAAGTAAAAAGTTATAAGACTTTTAAGAATGTGGATTTTTGGGTTATCTTTGGCGCCCCCTAGAACCTAAACCGTGGGGTGCAGCGTCATGATTTGTACAACTTTTAATGGCCATGGGGGGTAGATTGGCCTGCGCAAATGTGGTGCCGGTCGAACGAAAGCCTTCGGAGGAGTTAGCGAAATTCCAATGTGTGCAGATCTGCAAAAAATGCAAAATAACCCATTAACCGTACATTTGACAGATACGCCCGCACTGACTTTTTTGTAGATCTTATGGAGATACATGTGTGTGTCAATTTTTGTGTCAATATGACAAAGCGTACAGCCGTCATGTGAATTTTCACCTTAGGGGGCGCTATGGAGCCATTTTGCATATTATTGTTTGGGCGACTTCAGAATATCGAATTTTTCACCAGGCCCGGTCGTCCTGCAAAATATCCGGAGTTTTCGCCAGTGGGAAGTGGGCCATTTTCCAGTTTAAAGCGGAGGAAAAATAATAACGAAAGAAGGAAACATGCAGGAACAAGAGGGCTCTCGCAGCTGCTTAGCAGCTACGCTCGGGCCCTAATTAAAACACAAAGTATTAATAGAAAGGTAATGACTGTCCTGTGTAGGTGACAGTGATATCCAATAGGTTAGGCACTCACGAGGCTGGCTGTGGCAAGTGTAAGTGAAAGCAACACGCACTGGCAGGAAGAACAGCAAACGCCGATGAAGGAAAAGGGTCTTTGCAGTGATGGGCGTTACCAGAGAGGGCGATGGCCAGAGGACACAAATGGGACGGGGAGGCAGCACGTTGGGGGGGGGGGGGGCGACACGGCTCGGGCCCGCCAGTGCCCCAACGGGGTCCTAGTTTCTTTCTTAGGGCCCGAGCGTAGCTGCTAAGCAGCTGCGAGAGCCCTCTTGTTCCTGTAGTTTCCTTCTTTTGTTATTATTAGGGCCCGAGCGTAGCTGCTAAGCAGCTGCGAGAGCCCTATTATTCCCCAAGGGGTTTTTCTTTGTTTCTTTTTTCTTTTTCCTCCCCTTTGAACTGGAAAATGGCCCACTTCCCACTGGCGAAAACTCATGAAATTTGGCAGGACGACCGGGCCTGGTGAAAAATTTGATATTCCGAAGTCGCCCAAACAAGAAAATGCAAAATGGCTCCATAGCGCCCCCTAAGGTGAAAAATTCACCTGACGCCTGTACGCTTTGTCAAAATGACACAAAAATTGACACACACATGTATCTCAATAAGATCTACAAAAAAGTCAGTGCGGGCGTATCTGTCAAATGTACGGTTAAAGGGTTATTGCGCATTTTTTGCCGATCCGCACACATTGGAATTTCGCTAACTCCTCCGAAGGCTTTCGTTCCACCGGCACCACATTTGCTCAGGCCAATCTACACCCCATGGCCATTAAAAGTTATTCAAATCATGACGCTGCACCCCACGGTTTAGGTTCTAGGGGGCGCCAAAGATAACACTAAAATCCACATATTTCAAAGTCTTATAACTTTTTATTTTTGTCCTCACTGGCCTCCAAGTTTTCTAGGATGATGCAATGTCCAGCCATCAACACATTTGTGAAGGAATTTTTACTCCCCAAAAGAGCGCCCCCCCATGGCAGGAGAAAAAAGTCCATTTTTTCTTGTCCCCTAAGGTGAAAATACACATTGTTGAGTGTCACGCCTGTACGCTTTGTCAAAATGACACAAAAATTGACACACACATGTATCTCAATAAGATCTACAAAAAAGTCAATGGGCGCGTATCTGTCAAATGTACGGTTAAAGGGTTATTCCGCATTTTTTGCCGATTCGCACACATTGGAATTTCGCTAACTTCTCCGAAGGCTTTCGTTCCACCGGCACCACATTTGCTCAGGCCAAATTACACCCCATGGCCATTAAAAGTTATTCAAATCATGACGCTGCACCCCACGGTTTACGTTCTAGGGGGCGCCAAAGATAACCCAAAAATCCAAATTTTTAAAAGTCTTATAACTTTTTATTTTTGTCCTCACTGGCCTCCAAGTTTTCTAGGATGATGCAATGTCCAGCCATCAACACATTTGTGAAGGAATTTTTACTCCCTAAAAGAGCGCCCCCCATGGCAGGAGAAAAAAGTCCATTTTTTCTTGTCCCCTAAGGTGAAAATACACATTGTTGACTGTCACGCCTGTACGCTTTGGCAAAATGACACAAAAATTGACAATCATGTGTATCTCAATTAGATCTACGAAAAAGTCAAGAGCGCGTATCTGTATAATGTACGGTAAAAGGGCGATTTTGCATTTTTTGCCGATTCGCACATATTGGAATTTCGCTAACTCCTCCTAAGGCTTTCGTCCCACTGACACCAAATTTGCTCAGGCCAATCTACACTCCATGGCCATTCAAAGTTGTAAAAATCATGACGCGGCACCCCACGGTTTACGTTTTAGGGGGCGCCAAAGATGACCCAAATATACATTACAGTAGACAAAGTAGTTTTGCCCACTGAGTGGCGCCAAAGGGACTTGTCTGTGGAGTCTGTGAGTCACTATTGGCCGTTTTTGACTACTTTAGATTTTACCTTTATATTTCCTCTTACAAAATTTTTACCTTGCCTTGCCTGGTATCATTTTTTTCAGCACAACCTCACCTGTGTCAATTTACAGTTATTTTATCATTTTGACATACTATATTTACACATTGGACCCAAATTCACACACAAAACATAAAATCCGAGTGGAAAAAAGTAACGTTTTTACTGTGAAAACCACAAATATGTGTGATGAACTGTTTTTAAAACTTAAACTTCAAATAAAAATTGTAAACTTCAAAACATATGCAAATTTTTAACAAAGAACATAGTAATTTACCTCTATTTACATCAAAATGCAGGCAATGGCCCAGGTGTTCTTTGTAAAATTATTTACAAAACACTGTATAGTCTCACAAATGTCACTTTTTATTTATGCCACTACAAAAAAACATGATGTAAATGATGCATGATGTAAAACATGATGTAAAAAACTTGTGTAGATCCTCCTCTATGTCAGTCCATGTGTAATTTTTCCATAATTCTTTGTTTTTTGCAGCATTTTTGTTAGTGTAACTGCAGATTGTGCTGACAGTGTCTATGGCAAAAAAAAAAAACAAACTGAAAATGCCTCAACATGAACCCCTGGTGGTCTCTGAGGGTGAAACCTGCTAACTGCTGCAGCTCTGTCAGCTTCAGTCTCCCATGCAGAGCTCGGAGCGCATGTGTGGCTCTGCACCCTTAGCAGCGTTGCTAACTCCTCAGTAAGGAAAGCCTGCTTCATGTCAGAGTCTCTAAACTCCAGAAGAAGTCGATAAAAGTCACTTTCTTTCTAAAAAACGTCGTTAGGGGGTCTGAAAAGTCATTGAATCTAACAACAAAGTCGCTAGGTTTGCAACTACGTGTCCCAGACTGCATCCCTGCTGAGAGTCCCTCCCTCCCTTCTCATATTGCAGGAAGAACGTAAGCGCCCGCCCCTTGTCAATCAGTCACCATATAATTTTGGATTGGTTGTTGTGGTGAAGTTTTCCACCAATAGGAGAGATGTTGTGGTGTGTTTTTTTTTTCCTTTGGCAAGCCTTTTCCGCCTGTAAGACCTGTCGCTAATGTCTGCATGCTATGTTTTCCTGTCTCATACAGCGCGATCGAGCGC